TTGGGTGGAGGAGAGACAGAAAGGGGGAGGGAGGGTAGGGTGGTGGTGGTGGTGATGAGGGAAGGATGGCAGCCCGACAAACAACCCAGGACAATAATAATGGCCTCCTCATAATTCCGTTTCCAAATTGGGGACCTCAACACAGGTAAGGGGTCAGGCTAAATGCATGTCCCGGGGTCAAAGGTTAGCCGGACAAGAGGGCATTGCTCGGACGCGCACCGTGAGCAGCAGCAGCAGCAGACAGCCGCAGGGTGCACCATCATTATCAAAAGGTGAGTGCCTCGATGCACGAACCAGCGTTAACCATCGACCACGAGATCAAAGGAGAAAAAAATCAAAAGCATCGCCTCTTTATTTGACGAGAGTCAAGTTCTGCTGCTAATAAATTAAAACGGTTTGAACTATGCAATTAACATAAGAATATTTATTCTCTGTGGCTACAGCGTCATGGGAAAACAAAAACCTACGATGCACAAAGGGTTAAAATAGCTGCTAAGCTGCGGGAGAACAAAATGTGAACGCAGCAATCAACAGGATCAGACTGCGGCTTAACCCTTTCCCCTCACTCGTAGAGCATACACAGCACATTAACATTTGATCACAAGATTCTTGCCGACACGCCCCGATACTTTACGCTGCTTTGTTTGTTTATTTGAGTAAAGAGATGCACATCGACACAACAATGGTTATGTGTGTGGAGAAAAAGGAAGATAGAAACAACAAAGGGAACGTTAAGAAGGACGGCCAACCAATGGCGCCCTCCAACTTTCCACTCTTTACTCTGCCTCTGTCCAGTCTCTTTGTCCTGTTTCTTTCGTACTTAGCACTGTGTGCTTACTTACAACTAAAAAACAAACGAACAAACAAACAAACCAAAAAAAAACCCCAAAATCCCCCCCCCCCCCCAAACCCCAACAAAAAGTGACAATAAGATGCCGCTACGCCAGAAAACCTCAGATTCTTAACCTCCCCAAGGGTAGGACCAAGCCAATTTGGCTGACTAACAGCGTCACAGGAGCAGCGGCTAACAACTACATTGAAAAATAAAAGGGTAGCTGAAAGACTAAATGACTTTCTACATAACCGGAATCCAAGAATTTCCCTTTTTTAGTTTTAGTAGAAGTTTTACGGCGCTCGCAACTGCACAAAGACATATGAGTGCCAGAAGATTAGAGATGTGTCACAAGAGAGTAACAAACATAAACAAGAAGAAGGGGGGATAGGAAAGAAGAAGCAAACCACACCATAGCACCCGTCAACCACCCACAATTTTCCCTTTGAGGACTCGAACCAGCGTAATCCACACTATAGCTCAGCATGACACCAACTGAGCTAACAGCTCAGCAAAGAGCAATTGCATGCTGACCACACTAGCACTCGACTATTTCAGGCTTTTTAGTTTCAGTTGAGGTTTTACGGCACATGCAACACAAACAGGTCATATAAGTGCCGACAATGAGAAACTTACAAAGAAAAGAAGTGGCAGCGATAAGAACAATAGATTAGATGTTTGATAGGAAAGAAGGAGTGGGCCACACAAGAGCACCTGCCAACAACCCACTATCACAGGGTGGGGGCCAACAAGGAGGAACGATGTACGAGTTCAAGTTAGAGTAAATAGAAGTACATTGCAACAATGAAGGCCATTTAGTGCAAGGAAGAAATAAGACAGAGAGACAGAAACAACAGAAGCAAAGAAAAGAAGCAGGACCTACCAGTGGCGCCCTCC